AAGAGTTGGTTTGCTCGTGTGCGGCCCACCCCAGATGTCTGGGGTCCGGGGTCGAAGCCCACTTAAAGTACGTTCTTTTCTTCTTCGGTGAGCCTTCTCTTCCAGAGCATTCTTTGCGAGTTCCGCCGGCTTTACAGGAAGTGGGATCTGCGCCTCTGCTCCATCGCGGGTCGGGACAACCCCCTCCTCTCAACCGAGCTCCCTACCCAGGCAGGGGTCTCTGCTGTCTGGGGGCCCGGCTTCGGGGCCTGGACTGGAAGGAGTGACGTGCGTTCGGGAGGCGCAGCGGAAAGCGGGAGGGACAGTGGGTGGAAGAGGCAAAGGACGTTTTAGACGAGTCTGATTCATCCTCTGTAACCAAGTCCCGCAACAGGTAGGAACTTGGGAAGCGCTGATGATCCTGTGACGATACCACCCCCTGGATATTTTGTCTTAGAAAGTTAAAGGAGCTCCTCGGCCACAGAGTACTTACTTATGGAAGGCGGGGACCGTGGCACCTAGCATAGGAAATGTAATATTCTAACTCTGTTGAGAAAGGAAATGAGTTCCGAAGATACACATCTCTACCAGAAATGTTATTACCAGAGGCAGAAATAACACAAGCTACAAAGAACCTACTAAAATGTTTTAGAAAGCGGGAGAAGGAAATGGTTTAAAAATATATTTAAATCCAACTAATAGCTCCTCGAATATGCAGGAGCAGTTGGGGTCGGAAGGAAAGCGGGGTGTTTAGAAGCTTTGGGTGTGTTTAAATTTGGCGAGTTAGGGGGAAGAGACCTTTATTCAAACTACTTTGGGAACTTTTACACCTGGTCCCTCCCACTTCCTTACGGTATATTGTTTGGGGTAGAACAGAGATAAAACGTTTAAAATGAGTATAATACCTTTAAAGTCCTCAATACTTTGTATGCTTTGAGCTGCCTAGGCAAACAGAAGCTGTACCTGGAAATAATTTACACTGAACGTTCACTTGAATGTAAATTCAGTGCCGATTGTAAGTTTAAAATGATGTTCATTATAAATCTTTATTCCCCAAAGAATCTCACTTCAATTAGAAGTAACATTGCACACTGTAGCACTGATGTCTTCAAAGTGAGTTTAGGATAAGAAAATTCAGTTTAGAATACCGTACTCCTAAAAGAAGGGTGTGATAACAGTTACCCACTAAGAGAGATGCAATACAAACCGGAAATAACCACAACTTGTAATTTCGGTTTTTAATGTTTGTTTAATGTCTGTCTAAGGTCTCTCTCCCTCTCTACACAATAAGCTCTCTGAAGTCAAGGACCATATTTGTTTTTTTTCTCTATATACCCGACACCTAGTACTTGGCATGGTAGTGTGCACTCAGTGACTTATCAAAGGCAGGACCTGAATGTAAGCTGCTGTGAGTGTGTGTTTCATAAGTTAAAAGACAAGCTAACACTTCTTGATTAAAAATGTTGACTGAGTTAGTACAGCTTCTAATCTAACACTGGGTTCCTTCTAATAATTCTTAATTTGGTATCATGCTCACTCCAGGGTTAAAGTTCAGGGGGTAGAACAAGACATAGGCTTCAGGGCAACCCCCCCCACACACACTTACACATGTTTAGAAGGAGTCGTGACACACTTTTCTACAATGAACAATTGTCCTTAATTATAATGCTTAGGTAGTCTGTTTGCTGGCCTAAATTTTTCATTTGAAATTATCATTACCCATTGCCACTCACTTTACATGTTTAGTGTCTGTACCTCCAGTTCTTTCCAGATAGAAGATACACAATTTATATAAAAGGAGTACATTTTTTTTCTGGGGAGTTGGTAATAGATCTAAATGCAGATCGGCAATCTAATTGGCAAGATATGGTAGTTCTTAGGAGGTGTCAGAAATTTAATTTGCTGAACTAAGGAAATAGTAATGCAGCCATCAATACCATTTCAACACAGACTATTTAACAATTTTTTGTGTGTATTATGAAATATATTTATAACCAAACACTGTAAGACTTATACATGAGACCTATTTTAAACAGGATATTCAACAGCAGGTACGTAGTATCCTGACTTGTTATTATTTTGGTATAAGAAAAGTCTAAAATATTATGGAGATACTAGCTTTCAGTGTGTCATGAAATTCTCTTAGAGTCACTTTCTGAATAAAGAAATTTATTTCTTTATTTTCTTATTTCTCTGTTCTGCAGCAGAGACTTGGGAGAGGATTTGTGAAGCTTTATACAGGGTTTTAGTTGATCAAATGTAATTTCAAAAATAATTATAACTGAACATTATTTCATTTAAGCAGTTTGGAGTATTCTCATGATACATACATTAACTTGAAGACTGTGGAACCCCTCTTTAATCTAGAATATGTGTCTTACAGTTTGTGTTACTGTTTGGGGAATTATGAGTGATTTCTTGAGCAAAACTCTAGGCAGTATCTACTGAAACAAGAAGAAGTTTTATGTGTTGTTAAATCTTAACTAAAGTGTAATTTCTATTTTTTATAGTTGAGTGGTTTTATGTGGTTTTTTTTAGAGAGAAAAAAACATTGGACCTTTGTTAATATGCTTTTATTTTCTTAGGAAAACAGAACTGATCAGGTAGTGGAGGACTTTATTTATTCCTCTTTATTGCCAGGATTTTTCAGACTTTTGGGGAGCCTGGAAAAAATTACTTCTTATTTTGACTCAAGTCCCGGAATGGTAAGAGATTAAAAGCATAGCTGTTGATAATAATCTGACTGAGAGAGATGAGCCACCAGTTTTTCTTTTAACTTAGTTTTTTTTTTAAGCTTAGTTTTGACTAATTAATTGGAGAAATACTCATAATTCATGTGTACAAATCATTGATTATTGGTAAATATCTATTTGTATTGCCACCAGGCAAACATCCATAGATTTTCTAAAACTTTTTTCACTTGCTTTTTAAAAAAAATTTTTTAATTTACTTATTTATTTATTTTTGGCTGCGTTGGGTCTTTGTTGCTGTGTGCAGGCTTTTTCTAGTTGCGGCAAGCGGGGCCTACCCTTCATTGCGGTGCGCGGGCTTCTCATTGCGGTAGCCTCTATTTGTTATGGATCACAGGCTCTAGGCACATGGGCTTCAGTAGTTGTGGCTCACGGGCTCTAGAACACAGGCTCAGTAGTTGTGGCACGTGGGCTTTCGTAGTTGTGGCTCACGGTCTCAGTAGTTGTGGCTCACAGGCTTTAGAGCGCAGGCTCAGTAGTTGTGGCGCACAGGCTTAGTTGCTCCACGGCATGTGGGATCTTCCTGGACCAGGGCGCAAACCTGTGTCCCCTGCATTGGCAGGCGAATTCTTAACCACTGTGCCACCAGGGAAGCCTCCTTCACTTGCTTTTTATTTGGACCTAAATATTGAAAAAATGAAAGGATACGTATACTCTTCATTTTTAATTTTTAAAAAGTAAACAGCACAGAAGGAGCCACTTAAACCAAATAGCCGAGGAGACTGATCACATGACTTAGAGCAGTGTTTCTCAAACAGAGAGTTCCCCAGATCTAGATGTTAGTAAGTATTCCTTAAAACAAAACAAACGAACACAAAAACTTGCCTTGGTCTAACAAGTTTAGAACTTGGTGGGTGCGGGGAGTGGGAACTTTGAGACAGTGTTAAGCAGAACACCATTTGGAAACTTGAAATCAGTGAATTGAGAAGAGTCACTATCCCTCTTCAATTTAAAAATTTTGTATTAATAGCACCAGTTTGTAAGTATAGTGACTTACAAATGGGTGGTATTTCAAAAGTTTGCTTGAAGATTAGTTCTTTGAAATGTGTGCATAAAAGCATGGTCATGACTAGTGAGTAGGTGTTCAAGTTAACCCACAAGGGCTTATGTAATCTATAAAGTACTTATATGAATGTCATAGAACCTAGTGACAATATGTGGCAATAGTTCTATGAGGAAAATGCTGTATTTGGAGTTACAACTTTGGGTGGGAGGAGCACTTTTCTTGTCTTTGCCACCATGCACCAGGAACTGTGCTAGGTGAGGAAGTGACAAAGTACAGTGTTCCTTATGTGTAAAATTCCATGTAGCAGAGATTCTGCAAATTCATATCTTGCCTAATGTTATGGGAACCTGGGCCAGCTCTCACTAGTCAGGCTCCCATGGCTTCCAGTAGCCCAAACTGGTAAAGAGGAATGTTCGGATTCTAGTGGCTGAGAAATAAGGAACTGGGCCCAACCTCATGCCCCAGTAGATCTCACTTCAGGCAAGCTCCCTACCCCTATCTTTTTTTTTTCTTCTTTTTATTTTTTAATAATTACAGATTCACAGGCATTTCCAAAAAAATAAAAAATGTACAAGGAGGTTCTATATATCCTTTACTCAGCTCCATTTCCTCCCATGGTAGTATCTTGAGTAATTATAGTACACTATCAAAACCAGAAAATTGATGTTGATATAATCCATAGAGCTTATTCATAGGGGACGGGAGTCATTAGAATATAAATACTATATGAAAGTATCAGGGGGTGCCTATATACTGGAGCCTCTTATAACCCTATGCTTGTTGAGAATTTTATAATGACAACAATAATAATTGCTACTG